CCTAAGAAAGATTTCTTGAACTTATTCTCATGCAATTTGTGGCATTTTGTCTTTAATATTTTATAATCTTCACTGCAAAATATGTCACAATAATGCAAGTATGTTAAATTCTGTGACTTTTATTTGGCATGGACTAGACTGAAAGGTCACCACTGCTCTTTTACGTGGGTTATAGGTGCTCCATGTGTGCTTTCAGAGCAGTAGTTTGAGGAGACTTGACGTGGGATGGCAGGCCGGCCTCATCCCTATGACAGTAACTCCAGTGATCCAGAAAATTGGGATCGGAAATTGCATAGTAGACCTCGTAAACTTTATAAACATTCAAGGTAGGTAGAAAATACATATTTCATGTATCAAAGATCTGTTAAAATTGCGTTTGATTATGGCAAATCCTATGAGAGGCCAGGGGCTTACTTATAAAACTTTATCAATGGTTATATTTATCCTTGAATAACTTAGAGAAATATTTCTTTTTTTAAGTTCATTTATTTGAATATTTCTGCCTCTAAATGTTAAAATCTTACTTCACTGATTAAGTTCTGTGATTGCTTTAATTCGGAGCTGCAGCAATGACAGGTTAGATCTTTAAAACTTTTCTAAAAGGTGCTTGTTTCTTACTCTTTGTATTTTGAGAGGATTATACACAGTGAATTTTACGTTTTTGTCAGTATTTACTTCTATGCATTTTTTTGTTATGTGACTTTAACTGTATTCTCCTCCTGGATCCTCATTGGAAAATGATATCTGAAATGACTACTGGTTCATTCAAAGCTTGGTACCTGTAGTGAATTTCATTTTGTAAGTTTCAGTTCATCTGTTACTTTTTAAGCTTCTGCTATGTGACTTAATGAGGAATATCTTGTTTAGAATGCTTTATGATCTGGTATTCTAAGATGTTAATTGACAACCCATAAAGCTCACCTATAACAGGTATGTAAGCATGTTTTAATAGAGGATATTAGAGGATATTATTGAATGTATTACTTAAATGTAAATTTCTTCTGATCGTTGGTAACATAATACCATTTTCCTTGAAAAAACATGCCGTGATGTTGAAATCCTTTTTGTAATTTTCAGGAAACAATTCAAGTATTTTTCAACTACAGCTAGAAAATTTCAATAACTGGAATACTTTTAAGATCTCCTAATAAGACATTCAACTTTATTGTAGACTTTTAATGTGATAAAGTCTAGAATGTTAAGTTGACTTTGTTAGTTTATGCATACATGCCAAATGCTATTGTCAGTGTTTTTAGTTTGTTTTGTTTGAGTACATGTGTTTGTGTTTGTGTGTCTTGCAGGTGAGGCTGTAGCTTTTTTCTATTTCATGCATAATTGTCTTTGAGAAGGGTTACTGATGATATAATATGAGGCTGTATTATACATACTATAGTATATACTTTTCAGATGAATTTTATGTTGTCTTTTCTCATGTTTTTATAGTGTTCTGTGAGGTACAATAATTGCATTATGTTTTGAAGAGGTGACTAGGTTGAAAGTGAGCCCATTGTTTACTTTGTAAAAACATGGTTACGATTGGGAAATTTTGTTAAAAACAGCAGTATTCTTTTCATTCTGTTGTATTTCAGTAACAGGTATCAATGACAAGGCCGTTCTTGATAGCTATAGATTTGTGACTTTCTGGCTGCTGTTTTTAAGTCTCTTACATCAGTATTTAGGGTTCATTGAATGAAAATTGCTGAAGTGAAATAGAAAAAAAAGTCAATAAATTGATTTTTTTTTTAATGGAAAGACAAAGTACTTTGAATAAGTTTACTTTATCTTCGTTTATGAAAGCCCAAGGAAGAACAGCTTGCTTTTAAAGACCTTTTGTCCCTATGTGCTTAGGCACATATAAGTTAGGATATATGTATCTATATATATATTTTTAAAGATTTACTTATTTTTATTGAAAGAGCAGATATACAGAGATGAGGAGAGACAGAGAGGAAGATCTTCCATCTGATGGTTCACTCCCCAAGTGACCGCAACGGTCGGTACTACGCTGATCCGGAGCTGGGAGCCAAATGCTCTTATGGGTCTCCCACGCGGGTGCAGGGTCCCAAAGCTTTGGGCTGTCCTCAACTGCTTTCGCAGGTCACAAGCAGGGAGCTGGATGGGAAGTGGGGCCACCGGGATTAGAACTGGCTCCCATATGGGATCCTGGGCATTCAAGGCGAGGACTTTAACCATTACGTTATGGTGCCAGGCCCTGTGTGTATATATATACATACACTAAATAAATAAATATATATATATACACTAAATAAATATATATATACTAAATATATATATACATACTATATATATTAAAGTCCTTTGTTAAATGGAATTTAACTAGCTGTGAGATTTTAAAAATCAACAAACAGCAAGTACTGTTGAGACTTTGGCTTATGAGAGATTCAGAAGACATCTGGGATACTTGGTTATCCATGTATGTATGGAATAGTTAAAGGGTTGCAGAGTACTTAGCTGCTGTGTTGAGTTTTAAAATAGGAGTGAGTGAAGATATCACAGTCCTCTTCAATAAGTAAAAATGCTATTTGAGCTGATCTTTGGGTGATGTGAATGTTTGATTGGAGGGTTTGACCTTCCTCTGCACGGGAGTGTGGAGCCTATTTTTGAGCAGACAAAAGGTTAATATTCTCACACAAGGCTATCTACATTGTAAAGGACAGGATAAGATGTATATGCAAATTTCTCTTTCCCTTTCAAGCTATAAATAATTTAAAATAGCAGGTGTAATGGAAAACTGATGCCTCACCAGCTTCCGGCTGATCTGTGTCATATGTGCTTGTACCTGTTCTCATCTTTTGTGAAACCTGTATTTTACTTCTGAACGCTTCAGTGAAAGGATACAGACTAAATACTCATTTTAAGTTAGGACTTTATTTTTCTTCTATGTAACAAGTCCAGAGGTAGGCAGTAACTGATGCATGTTTCATGGATTAAGGATGTTGGGGTAAAAAATTACTATATTCTGGACTTCTCCCTCATAATTCCAAGGTAGACACTATCGTTCCAGCTGTCATGTCAGTCATTTAGACAAGAAGGAAGAGAAAAGGAGAAAGGGACAGTAGCAAGGCTTTCTATTTACATTAGAAAGTTAAATTTGTGATTCTATTTGCATTAGGACATGACATTTCTTGATAATTTCCAGCAGATATCTGCTAATAAATCATGAGCTGGAACCACATCACATGGCCATCCCTAGGTCAGAGAGATAAGAAATGTAAGCCTTTTTGTTGTGCTTTTTTTTTTTTTTTAGGTTGACTGATTGATTTGAAAGGCAGAGTGACAGTGGGGGATTCAGAGAACTGCATCTTCCATCTGCTGATTCATTTACTGAGTGGCTGGAAAGGCTAGGGCAGGACCAGGCTGAAGTCAGGAGCATTGAACTCCATCCAGGTCTGCACTTAGGTGGCAGGGGCCAAAGTAATTGGACCGTGGTCTGATACCTTCCCAGGCACATTAGCAGGGAGCTAAATTGTAAGAGGAGCAGTAGGACTTAAACCAGTGTCCCTCTTGGATGCTGGTGTCATTGGCAGCTTAGGTTGCAACTCCACAATGCTGGCTAACACCTTTTATAAAAGTGACAAAAGGGCCTGGCTTGACACCTCAGTTGGCTTAATCTTCCCGCTGGAAGTGCTGGGATGCATGTGGCCTCTGGTTTGTGTTCCTGGCTGCTCCACTTCCTATCTAACTTTTGGATTATGGTCTGGCAAAGCAACAGAGGATGGCCCAACACCTTAGGACCCTACACTCACATGGGAGACTCAGAGGAGGCTGGCTCCTGGCTTCAGGTCGGCTAAGCTCTGCATTGCAGCCATTTGGAGAGTGAATTCATGTATGGAAGGTCTTTTTTCTGTCTCTCCTCCCCCTAAATCTGCTCTGCTTTTCAGTGAAATAAAGTAAAAGTAATAATAGTTGCAAAAGGACAAATACCATGTTCTCTCTGATTTGACAGCCCTTGGGCAAACAAATAAATAGGTGTGGGTAACCACGTACATACATATCCTCTCACATAGGAGCAGTGTAACTGGATAGTAAAGTTAGGTTACAGTCTGCATTTCTGCTCCCAAAGAAAGTAGGACTCCCATTGTGAAACACGTGAACCATCATGAAGCATGTAGCTTGCCGCTAGATGTTCGACTTCCACCCACACCTAGCACGTCATGATATAGTTAAATAGCAGAAGGGTAATTGGGTAAATGTTACAATACAAAGGGACTCTACCAGTGTAATCATTTGGGGAATACATGTGGGTAGGAGGGGAAAGAAAAAAGCCCTGTACCTACAAAACTGTATTGTGGCTAAATCATAAACAAAACAAACCAAAGTAATGATAGTTACTACCTTTTGTGCTTGCTCTTGAGAGTTGTGGGTTTGGTGGGCATTGCCTTATAATTCTGTTCTAACACAATTTTAAAGGCATAGTTTTAAAGGTTTCTTTTCTGTGAAATATAGGTTTCATATGTATTCTGTGACATAGAAGGACAGAAACTGTTGCCTGTGATCCATCTGTAGGCATAAGCAAAAATGACTTAAAAACTAGTGACTTTGAGTAGTTGTATTTAATACCCAAAGTATACCTAACCTAATTTGTGTCAACTTTTCTTTAAATTGTGTTAGAAAAGAGTTTGTGTTTTATAAAAGAAAAAGCACATTTTCTGTGTATTCTAGATAGACAGTATGCTAAAAGCTCTTTGATATATGAGTTGGGTAGAATACGCTGTACAACACTCAGATCTGCAGTCTGCTCAGGTTACTAAAGATAAATGCATCAAACATTCAATATCAGACTTTGCCGCAAGGTTTCATTGCCACGTGGAAGTACGCATGCTCATTTCTTCTGCGACTGCATGAAGTGTGTTTCCCTTTTAAGTCATCCTGTAGTTCCAGCAGCTGTTTAGAAATGGAAAAGTTTGGTTGTTTAAAAGAATAGTTTTTGAGCAGATTCTTTAATTAAAAATAATATTTTCTCTTTAGTTTTAAAAAGAAGTTTTCCTCTGCAGAATGGATACATAAATATTGAAAAGAACACAAGTTAGCTGCATCCTATTTTTTTTAAAACCTGGCAAGCTGGCTGAGCTAGAATTAGCCTTACAGATGGCATTGGCAGCGTATCTACATATCTCTAAGCCCTCACCTCCTGCCTTTTCTTTAGCCTGTCCATCAATTAAAATACCCAATCACTGCTCAGAGATGGAAAAAGGGGTTGATCATAGCTCACACGATCCTGTTTGGTTAAAAACGTCAGTACTGCACAACCCACGGCTGAGTCAGTGTCTGTGAGAAATGAACTGAATTAATATATAGAGGGGGTTGTATCTCTGAACATTTAAAGCCTAAATAACCGCAGCATTATTACACAGTAGAGGGAGGAAACCTAAAAGAAGTCTAGATGGGTTAGGTAGGGAGAGCCTGAGAAATTTCCCGATTGTTCAGAGGAATCTTGAAGATAATGGAAATATCAGATGTCTTAAAGTTTCCTAGTAATGCCCAAGGATCCTGACCTGGCTTTCAGTGCTGCATTGTATGAAAAAGCAGAGTCCCTTTATACTCTGATTGCAAATTTTTTTTCTTGTTTTTGTGTGTCTACCTTGGCATGTACTAAAGGAAGGTGTGTATTCATTTATTAAATGATATCTGTGGGTATAATTATTATGTACATATACAATAGAGAGATTGAAAGCTATGTTTGGCTTTTGTTTCTTTATGGTCATTTACATTTCTAGATACAAACGATCATAATTGTAAATTTAATGGGGAGTTATTTAAAATAAATGGAGTATGTTTTCATGGGTTTGCTGTTTTTTTTTTTTTTATTTCATGTACCATGAGACGGTAGTATGTTTGTTTTAATGACTATATAAAATTTAAGGAAAGACTAATTGTGAAGTAATATTCTTAGTATGTTTGAAAATAAAATTTAAGCTAGAGAAATGAATAATTGAAATATTTTTCTAAAGGAGTTGAGTGTTTTTACTTTTGGGTGAATTAAAGATTAGTTTACTTATACATAGTGGTATTTTATAGGACTAAATGTGTTTGAATGATGTAGCTTTAATTGATTAAAAAGATTTTTGTTCTAGGTTTACAGAACAAAGATTCTGAATAGATCTAATTACTGCCAATAAAACAAAGTTTTTGGGTTAGTGCAGATTGATTTTCAGCTAGATAAAATTTCTAAGTAAAGGTAATTGTTCTTGCTGTGAGATTGTAAATCTTAGCAGATAACATTGCTTACTTTATTAGAAAATTTCAGCACAGTTTAAACATTTTAACTGATTTGTTTTTCTTCTGTTATCATTACTCCCTACCCTATTGATTCTTTATTTCATAGAAACTTGACATTTACACATTTTGCAATTATTTTGTTTTTAATATGTAAATAGTTCATAAAATCCGTTTCTGGAATGTAAGAAAATTCCTGTGACTAGCCCCATTTAATTTCTTGTAGTTTGAATGACTGTCATGACGATAGTCATCACTTATTTAGATAGCTGTGTTAATGCTATCTTAACATTTTTTTGTGTGGTTTGGGATCCAGAAATGTCTTTCTTAATTTTTGGTGTAAAAGTTATAAAAGCAGGGTCTCCAGGTAGACATTTTTGTCTCATACTTTATATAATACTTTTCCTCTGATTCTTCTAGGACAATAATGCCTGTTCCCTTATAAAAATGATGCATATTAATTATATAAACATAGAAGAGCATATAGAATGAAATGTTTTATTGAGAAAAATACTTGAAATATTTTGGCATGTAACGTTTTCTGTGTGTACATAGATAAAAATCATATACACTTACATTTTTAGCTATATAGTATTATATAATCCATTTTTAAAGATTATGAGCATCTTCTATATCATCTAATACTCTTCTATAGGATAATCTTAAATGTTTAATATTTTTGTGTATTTTTTTTTTGTGATCTATTTGAACAATCTGAGTTTTTCTGATTCTTGATCAGAGAAAAAGGATACCATAAATTTCACCCAAAAGCCAGAACATCTTGAGTTAAGGAAACATATAACCAAATGTTAATGTGATTACAGAATGAACTTTTTAAAAATATGCTTACTACTTTTAAAACAAATAGCTAAGACTGCCATAAAATTAAAGGCTAAATCTTTAAAAAAAAAAAAAGCCAGGTATACTAGCACTCAGAAAAGTTGATTCTTTTAAAAAAATGCTAAAAGGAATCAACATTTGGTGGAAGATGGTAACCAAGAGAAGTGTGATAATAATATTTGACAGTGAGGGTGGAAGAAATTTTTAGCTTTTAACTTAGTTTATTTCTCTAAGAGCAACAAACCACCATTAACAACAACAATAAAAATAACACTGCAAACATTGCTAAGGATAACTTAGAAACCAGTTTAGCTGTAGAGGTAAGAATGTATTTAGTTAAATGGATTTTTATCTTGACCATTTGAAGCATAGTTATAAAAGGAATTACATGTAGCATCTTAAAATTGTTGGTAGTGTTAATTCTATTCACAAAATCTTCAGATAACAATCAGAAGTTGGAAGCTTCAGGGCCTGATTTTGAAATAGGTATACAGTTTTAGAATATAAAAAATTATTTAAGGATAGCTTGAACAAAAACATGAAACATGAGCTTCATATTTTGCAGACAGATTTTGACTTTTCTGTGGTTTAGTTAGTAGACTAGTGGCGGTATGATATATATAGACGTAAGCTTGACTTTAGATAAGGCTCTTTTTGATATGCTTAGACATTAAGCTGCTTGGTAATTGTGTTAATACAATATTGAGTTGAATGACCCCATTCAAAAGTAGGTTGATCTTGGGAAGTGGCTTTGTTCTTTGCTTTGTCATCTTATTCATCTGGATAAAGTAAGTTAATTGAATTTTCCTGTGAGTATGTAAGTGTACATACTGATGATACAAAATGAGTGTTGGAATAATTCAAGTGAACTTTTCAGGAGTCTTTGTAAGGCCTGAAAAACAGCAGATTACGTTAAAGTTGCATGGCTTTACAATATCACATGTCAGAAAGGCCTAAAGATGGTATTGCCAGCAAATGTGACATAAAACAGCAGCACAATGAGACCGTCATCACCTTTCCCAGATCACCCACTGCTGCCAAAACCATTTTAGTTAGTGGAAAAAAAGATGGAACTGCTCCACACACACTGAAGTATTTTGTATTTATTTGTGTGTGTATGCAAGGGCAAGGATAGGAAGAAGTTAAATACCTTGTCAGCTTAAGGAGCTAAAAACTCAAGAAAATCCATGATGTGATACTAAAGAATCTCATAATAAGAAACACTTACATATTTGAAGAATCATCGTCTGGCAAAGTAGAGTTGATTTGATTCATGCTTGTTTACAGTTAGGCATAGGAATGCTGAAGTTACACTTCCTGAGTCCCGTGTCGGACCCACCGTGAGCCAACTGTGTGATTTCAGGCCCAGTTGTTCAGCTTCTACACTTGCATCATTGCAGCTCAAAGATGGAGGTAGTTTTGAGGGTTAAAGTACACAGAATTATTGTGTCTGCTTGTAGTAAATGTTCATTTTTAGCATTGCCACTTTAATCTGATCCTAGGAGGCAGGGAAGTCGTGCTTAGTCCGGGGTGGTTGTGCCCTGCAGGAGGTATTTGCAATTTTTGCAGGTAGTTTTGGTTGTAATAACCTGGAACTTAACAAGTATGAGTATTTGGAGGTTAGAAATGCTACTACATACCTTCTTGTGCTCAGGAGTGTCTCCCCACAAGAAAGCATTTTCTGTTTTAAAACTTTAGGGTCAAGTAAAAAGATTGTTTTAATATTGAGAAAAATCTGCCTTGAGTTTTCAAGTTAGAACAAAGCTGTTGAAAGATAACTCTTGCCACAAGGTCTTCGCTGTCTTCATTTCATAGTTTCACTTCTCACTTCAGATCTTTGCTCAGACATTTCCCTCGTGAGTTCTACATTGAGCACTCAAAATGATGTTGTATTCATTCTGCTTTATTTTTCCTCATAGCATTTATCACCAAATGACATTTAATATATTTATTTATGTATGCTTTATGTTTCTCTCTACTTGCATTGATTTTGGGAACAATAATTTCTTCAATTATAGCACCAGGATTAGAACAGTGCCTGGCATATAGTATGTGTTCAGCTAATTAGACATCTATTTGGAGACTTCTCAGTTTAAAGAAGTGCTTGCTTAACAACATCTTCTTTGTTTAAAATTCAAAAACTAGAAGCAAAAACATTTTAAAAGAAATTTCTATAGATAGGGAAATGAGCCTGTACCTCAGCGATCAAGAGGCCCACATCCCAAACTGGAGGAACTGGGTTCAGTTTTTTTTTTTTGTCTTTTCTAAAAATATGCTTATTTTCTATATTATCAGCATAGAGATTCATCCCTCCCTCTTGCCTAACCTGCCCTCTGTGATCCCCTTCCTGCTATTTGTCCCCAAGCTATCACAAAAACACAGTCACTCATTACAAGTTTAACTTTCTGATACATAAATGTATCATGACAGGGTAAGTGCAGGAAAAGGTAGAAAACGTGTCAGAGTGTAATGGTGTGCTGCATTGGTAAGTATCCGGCGGGACTCTGTCAGTTGGGAGTAGTCGCATGCTGTACACATCTGTTACTTACTAGAGTACGTTGTACACTTTGTATGTTCATATATGTAATTTGTACTTTGTGTTAGTTTATATCAGAGAGAACATTTTGTATCCTTTTGGGATTGGCTTATTTCACTGATCACAATGAATTCCAGCTGGGACCATTTTGTTGCAGACAGTAAGATATCATTCTTTCTTATAGCTGAATAGTATTTCATGGAGTAAGTGTACCACTGTTTCTTTATCCATTCATCTGTTGATAGTCTTCTGGATTGTTTCCATGTCTTAGCTATTGTGAACTGTGTTATAAACATGGAGTTGCAGGTAATTCTCACAAATGCAGATTTCATTTCATTTGAAATATTCTTAGGAGTGTGATAGCTGTGTTACGTGGCAGACCAATTCTCAGTTGTCAGAGGAATCTGTACTGATGTCTGTAGTGTTCTAGTTTGCATTCACACCAGCAATAGATCGGGGTACTTTCTTCCCCGCATCCTGACCAACAATTGTTGCTTGGTGATTTCTGTATGTAAGCCGTTGGGACTATATCAAACTAAGAAGCTTCTGTATTGAGGCTGGCGTGATTGTGTAGCAGACTAATCCTCCATCTGCAAGCGCTAGCAACCTATATGAGCACCAATTTATGTCCTGGATGCACTTCTGATCCAACTCTTTGTAGCCTGGGAAAGCAGGGAAGGGTGGCCCAAGGTCCTGGGATCCTACTCACACATGGGAGACCTGGAAAAAGTTCTTGGCTCCCAGCTTGGGATCAGCATGTCTCTGACTTTTGGGATCATTTGGGGAGTGAACCAAGGGAAGGAAGATCTTTCTGTCCCTCTTTCTCTATGTAAATCTGATCTGCCTTCCTAATAAAAATAAATGGAATAGGAGATAATTTTATTTAGCTTCAAAATGTGAAATTTATACACGCTTTCTTCTATTTTTAAGATTTATTTATCAATTTGAAAGGCATAATTAGAGGGGAGTAGAAGCAGAGAGAGAGGGAGAAACCATGTGTGTGAGTTAAA